GCCAATCAAAATCGCTGCTGTGGGGCTCCACACGTCCCAGCAGCTATGAATCCACTTTGAAAGCTGGCGTTCACAAGTCCATTGAACCTTGGTATGCAGGCAAGAAGGGCCGAGAGAAATTACATTTTCAGCCGTTGATTGCTTTCCTGCACTTGGCTCGGTGTCGGCGGATATGTTCTCTCGCAGGACCACCAAAAACTGGACGTGCCCCTCCCAATTCAATGGCTATTTTGAGATTGGGTGCATATTGTATTTAGGGGGGTAGAGAGAGAGAGAAAGAGAGAGAGAGAGAGAGAGAGAGAGAGAAAGAGAGAGCCATTGCCTCTTTGAGGCTCCGATGGATCCTCTCAAGGCAATCTCATTTCATCCCGCTCGCATGTGCACCCATGCTGAGTGAAGGTGGCAAACACACAAAAAAATGTTGGTTCCTTTTCGGTCCTTTAAGTACCAACCAAAACGGAGTCTGCCCTTTTCGGGAGAAACAAGTACAGTGTGGCTTGCAAAGGTTGGACAGGCTGCTCCACCTAGCTTCCAGACAATTGCTTTGGGGGGTCAGATCAGTCCATGTTGCTGAGGCCACAAATGGCAGAAAAACACGGGTTTCAAAGACGCATTAAAACTGATCCATTGGGTTGTTCCCCTGAGCCTGTATGGGGCATCTGTTTGTTTTATCTCTGTGGACAACGTACATAAAAGTCAGTTCGCTTCACGCTGCAGCCACCAAAGTGGTGATTTTCTGCCAAGACACCTCACTTTCAGCAGCCTTACTTCTGCTCCTCCTTCTGCTCCGCCTTCGTCTCCTCCTTCTCCTCCTCCCTTGGAAGGCAGCTTGTCTTGAACGCCACAGAAAGCAATTTGGAGAGCGTCCTCCTTGTTCGAAACTGCCGAAAGGAGCTACCATCACTGAGCCTCAGGCCCGGAAGTGATGACCTTCAAGCCTCCCGCCAGGACAGCCAGGATGCCAACACCCACCAGAGGGTGCACCTTGAAGTACCTGAAAATTGCGTCGAGCGTTGCAGCCAACGTGGAATCGGCACTGATGCTGCCAGGACACGCGAAGGCCGTCTCGGCGTACGGCGTCACCAGCCTGCCGACGAAGAGGGCAATTCCCATGATGGTGGCGCCGATGCCTGCCATGGCCGAACTGTCAAGTGATTGCACGTCAATGCCTCTTGCTCTTCCCGTCTAGCTCCATCAGCCTGTGGAGCGGGCATAGTTGACGGGCTTGAAGTACTCACCGAAAGAAAGCCTAATTCGGCTTCAGGGCATGTCCATCAGGGAGAGGCAACATGATGTTACACGTCAATGTAAGACATCAGCCATCATTGACAAACATGTTTGCCATCATCTCGAACACAACTGTAACAGTGCAACTTGGCGGCTTCTTGTCCTTGGGCTGCAAAGTGAATCCTCTCCATTCGTTGCACGGCGAGGAGAGGATGCCTTACCAAGCAAAAAGCAAGACAGGAGGGGCAGTGTCAAGCCCGCAACCTAGAGCCCGGACAAACCAGCCGCACTGCGTCCCAGTTGCATGCGGCCCAAATAGTGAAGGCGAAAACGGCAGACTGCGCAGTGCAGCGTGCCACATCACAAGCTACAACCGCCCATTGCTACTGGCAAGACCGTCAAAGCATTCAAGCGCTCGCACTGTGCAGAATTGCAAGGATTGAGCCCTCGCCTCAAGCCATTGCATTCGGGGGGAGTCAACAAACGACGCCTGGCCTGCCCCACAAAGGATGTCGGTGCGCAGAAACCTGCTACCACGACAGCCACCCAGCCACGCGCAAAGCCATAGATGATGTCGCGGGCCACTGTTGGCACCTAGCAAGGAGCGGGTGGGGTTGTGGCAGCATCTGGGCAGACCCGAGTTTGAATGCAAGCTTCAAACCGGAGCAGCATCTTCCGGACAGTGCATCAACGTGATATGTATCATGGGATAGAGTGCAAACGACTCTGCGTGAGCTTTCAGCTTTTGCAAGGATACTAGCATTGCCAGGATTCAAGTCGCGCAACTCTCTGACCAGACTGGGTGCCGTACATAGGCCTGATACAAGAGCGCCGGCTTGATCTCCCAGCCCATGCTCTTGCGGAAGCGGTAGTTGGTCACCTTGGCAGTTCTGCTGCCCCGCATGGGGTATCAGAATCAGGGCCCCACTTTTGGTTAACCCATGACTGCTCAGGCCCCTACGCACCTCTGGCTAGATGGTCTGCATTGCAGGAGTTGCTTGAGCCTGAGGCTCAAGCCGGCAGCATGACGGTGCAGAAGAGGAATCCGCTGATGGTTCCACCTCAACCCAAGCCAAGGAAAACGGTGGAAAGAATGCCACCCAGCACATAAAGACCAGCACCCACCTGCATCACCATGCACACCTCTCCAATGCCCAAGGCGCTCAATCCAGGGCTGAAGGCAGTGAAGGTCATCGCCATATTGATGATCTCGAACACTGGGAACTTCAGCCTATGCCAACTGTTCATGCAGCTGCAGCAACGCAAAGCCCATACAAGCAAAATAGCCTCATGGACGGAGCAAACTGCTAGCAAGCGCCGCCAAGGTGCATGTTGGTGGGGAAGGTGGTCAGGAAGAAGTTAGCGATGAGCTTGAAGTTCATCTCCTTCATGGCCTGCAAGGCAGACATCGATGCTCCGCCGAATTCGCAACCACAGCCTGTCAATAGTGATCGCAGTGAAATCGTTATTTCCCCCCCCCCCAAGCTAACAAGCCGTGGTCCGAGTCCGGATATGTCCTGGATATGTTCTGGACCTTTCTTGGACCTGTCTTTGTACGTGTGCTCGTCCCATGACAAAAATGACCCGCCTGGCCCACAGTCATTCGCTTCACCAGCAAGCGGTTCACCTCAGTCCAAGGTGTACGAAATCGACCACAGTTTGGCCAGAACTACTCCGCAGTGGAAACACGTGTGGTGTCATGCTACAACCTGACATGAAACAGAACAAGGCGATTCAACACAAACAAAAACACACAAAGCACCTGGTACAGCGGAATACACATACGTAGATGATTGTCTCTCACTCGCCCAACAAGCCGGAAAAACTCAGCGAACACACGACCAGAGGTGGTAAAAGCGAGAACGAGTTTGTTGCCCAACATACGGAACCCGAGATGGCAACGGTTTCCTTTTGGTGTCCCGATTTAAAAATCGCCAATGCTAGTGAGGAGTGCAAATGGCAAGGTGTCTCAAAGCCGAAAGGAACTTTTGGGGGGGAATCTGGTGTGTGCAAAACGCACAGATTTCGTGCGTTTTGGTACATGTTGGCACATTTGGACACATCGAGCTGGCAAAAGCTGCTACCCAAATTGCCCCGCTGGCCTGGAATCGCTGGCAGCGTCCACCATGCTTGAATCCCTAATTTGAGCGTTTGCCAGCTGGCTCTAAAGCCTCAACATGGGCTTCAACCTACCATGCCTCTCAAGAAGCAACCGCAGCCTAGGCGCCAGCGGCTCGGCCATGGCGGAGAGGATCGCCGCCACGAAGGCTGCCTCAGGCCAGGCTGATGTTGGCAACCACAGATGTCTTGGACTGAACCCACGAGACACAGAATGCTGTGAAAACCCCCCAGCATGTCACGCGTGTCAAAGTGCAACATGCTAAGAAAACTTGCGCCAGCCATGCACATCAGGCGGGAGACACAAGGCGCCAAAACAAAAACACTCGCTGCACACGTGCCACAAAGTGCTAGAAGCGCCCGCAACGGGCCTGAACACAAACTGGGTGAAGACCGAAAGTGTTGCAGATTGATTGCGCGCAGCCACGACATGCAAATCTTCGATCTTGGATTGCTTGGCTATTGGAAACAACAAAGCAGCCATGCGGCGACACTTTATTGATGGAAAGCGCTCAGGAGATAGTCACATTTTGACAGTCGCCGCGAACGCCGTCTCCAGAGGCCCGACTGTCATGCTGCCCCAATGGGACCTTGTCGGAAGCCTTTCTTTATGGTGATAAACTGGGGCGCCCCTTGTTTGAAAGTGCAGAAGAGAGATGTCCTAGTTTAGAGCCCCGCCCTGCGCACACGCCTCAGCGAGATGGACTTGCAGCTGGGACACAAAAGCTGCACTCACGGGGTTTCGCTCTGATTCGGGTCTGATGTCTACGCCGCGACTGGCTGATCACAGCCACGAGCCCGCGACGCTGCTCCGCCGTCCGTCGCGCCTCTTCACGCACAGTGGCCTCGCCTGTGCGCAGAGTTTGTGGCAATTACGTTCTTGTCACGCCGGCGCTCCGCGCGCCACTTGAAGAGCCATCTGGGCGGGCTGCCTCGCGACGGTACAACTTGTCACACCAAGGGTTGCTGCAGCCACTCCATCGCTTGCGCGACGCGGAGCCATTGTGAGCCCTTTTTTGGGTTCTCAATCGGTACGCCTGTGTCAGCGCCTCTCCCTCGCGGCATGCCTGCTCGAATCAGCTCGATCATTCGCCCTTGTGGCTTCGTCTCGCTAACCATGATGGCTGAGTACGCCGGTATGGCTCAGACTTTGTACGCTTGAGAGACCCCCTCCAGCCAACCTTGCTCCTCAAGAGCTCACTTGTTCATGCCCAAGCAATTTTTATCGAACCAATCTGTAAGCCCTTCTGTCAAGTTCTCAACATATTCACTTCCACCCGACACGCAACTTGACAGGGGCCAAGACTTTACTTTTCCTAGCAACGTGGAAGCTCAAAACAAATCCCAACCCTCCAATCCACAGTGCAGCTGGAGATGCCGTGGCTCCCTGAGCACCAGCCGCGAACACCTGTCGGGCTTGCCAAAAAAAAAAAACGGGGGGTGGTTGGAAAGGCACCCTTTCGTGGCACCCGTTGGAGTCCGTGGGTACGCACAATATCTTCTGCAAGCTTCGAGCCATTGGTTGCGCCGAAATTTGGGGAAGGTCACAAAGCATTTGCAGCTTGATACATCGCTTCCGCGAAGCACTCGGCAACTGCATTCGGCAAGTAACTAGAAACCTTGGGTTTTATGTCAGGTTCCCCTCGAGAGCGTCACCCAAACAGGGCAGAACGCCCCGGGTCCTTTTCTTCACTTGCAGCCTCCACCCATCTGGCCGTGGGTCAACACCAATGGTACCATTTTGGTTGGTAGGTGAATTCACCACCCATTGTAGTTGCCAACTACTTGGTTTTCCGGATACCACTAAAAGTTAGTCACGGGGAGCAGAAAGCAACTTTCAGTGGGGATGTTCACTGGGGGCTAACCGGAATTTTGACCCATGGCCCTGTCTCAGCCTTGGTGAAGAAGGTGGCGCTGGCCGCCGCCGCCGAGGCGGTCACCGGGGAGTTGTCGCGGGGCAGCTGTCCCAGCGCAAAGGTCCTGCACTTCTCATGTGGCTGTGGGTCAAGAATAGGTGCCCAAAAAGGACCCCTGATAAATGGAAACATGGACTCAAACCTGCCCTCCCCTGGCGGTTTAATGTTGACCCATACCCATGTGAAAGCAGTCATCGGCTTGAACCGCGTGTGAACCGTTGACACAAGAGCTCACCGAGCTGCAGAACTCCGGATACCAGGGCGTGCGTATGCCAAATGCTGCCCCTCTGATATCACAATTCGTGCAAATGTTCTCCCGAAATTTGCGTGACGCGCGGGAAGGAACGCCTGGCGGATCAACAGTATGTCAACACAAGGCGGGCAATGTGCCGCCTCCTGCATTTCCGCAAAAATCCAAAAAGCAAGTGCAAAAGGTGAGAATCCGGAGACTGGAGTCTACATACAGGAAACAAGGACCCTCAAGCATATCCAGGCACCTCGAGGACCTGGTGAGAGCAGTGGAGTCGGCAGTGGACTCAGTGGCCGTCCAGTGGGCAGCCGGAGTCGCAAACGTCAGCTCTCCAACGTTCCACCTGCGGTGAGACTGGCTATTTGACCAGGCAGTTCACGCAACAAACAGAAGCCCCTTACTCCCAACCTGAAGCCCAAGTCGCCTGCCTCCTCTCACAGGATGTGTTTCATTCTTGTCAGAAAGCCCCACAATCACAGACTGATAAGCATCAGAAAACGCGATCCAGAATTCAGAGCCCTGTTCCCCAACAGCCGAGGCTCAGAAGGCAGGCCAGGATCAGCAGGCATGCCACCGTGGATCGACTGCGACGCACCTGACTGAAGTGTAGCAGCACGGGTATGTCTCTAAATTGGAGGGGTTCCTTTCCATTGGAATCTATTTGGGCATGGATTTGTGTCCACCAATCACTTTTTTGGTTGGCTCCCCATTAAAGTTCATAGCCGTTCAAGGCTGATACTTGTTGTTCAAGACTTGCCACTTGCCAAGAATGCTGCGATTCGGAGCCGAGGCTTTGGCCAAAAGCCATGGGTAGGTAAGGGGCACTGCCCTTCGGGGAGTCCGGGAGGCGATTCGGGGCAGATGACCCCTGGGCGGCTTCCTGTTGGGCCCCTCTCGAAAACCATCTGGGTCTGGGTCAAAATTGAACCACCAGTAAACCGCAGGTTTTCGTCCTCCTTGCCACTTAACAGGGTTCCATTTGTGGTACCTATTTTTGACCCACGGCCATACACGGGTCCCCATTCTAGAAGTCTAGTGCCAACCTCGTGCATTTCCGTCTCGCAGCCTTTCTTGCTCTCTGCAGCAGAGATGCCATCTTCACCAACGGGTCAAGGAGTTGAACGGTCCCCCAAACTTCGAGCCACACACATGGCAGGTGCAGAACACCTCGCAGATGTTCTAAAAAAAGCAACCCACAAAAGTGAGTGGGGTGCTTCCGAGCCCCAAAAAGCTACTTAAAAAGGCCCAAAACAGGCTTCCGCCCTTTTGTGGGGGCTCCGAGAAAGGCACCCATATGCGCAAACGGCCCCCTGGTTGGCTCTGACCGCTACACGCGTAGCTGCCTTCAAATATACTGCTATTTTAGACTACTCCTCTTCAACATTAAAATGTGAAACTGGGGAGGTGGGTGGGACTGCCTACACTCAAGGTCCCCCAAAGGCCCTGCGTGAGGCCCATATTTGTCACCCTGACTCAAAATGCATATCTGGCAAAAAGCCTGCAACAAGTCCAAGGGTAAAACATGTTGTGCTTCCAATGCTTGCACACCTCCAAAACCAGCATCAACAATTCTTTCAGAAGAAATGTACCCTGTCTAGCTAGTAGAAAGGGTGCTTCGATCGCGTGGCATGCCTGGCAGGCGGCGTTGACTTTTGCTGAGACCGAGCTCCGTGGAGTCTGTCCATAGAAACACCCTGTGAGACTGCAGCCTTGGCAAAAACATGACATTACATGACAAGAGTCTCACATAACTCAGATGTTGCCAGCCTCATCAATGATGTTCCAGGGGCGTGTTGGGATCAACGAGAAAAAATGGGTCCTCAGGACCTTGCTAATTTCATCACTACTGTGGGCCAAACGTCCGAGCAGCAATTGCAGCATTTCAGCAAGCGCCGGCCACAAACTTGTTCTTAGGCAATCGTCTGTACTCCGACATGCAGGCAGCATCTTTGATGCGTGCCTGTGACATGTCATTTGACGTGGTTTTTCCTGTTGCCTCTCGACGAGTGGCAAAAGGACCACATTGCTGGCAACAGAATTAGCGCATGACAGTGTGGCAGATGTACTGGCGAAACCAGTACAAAGCCTCACACCCAAAATTTTGACCCTTCAGCGGTATCCTCTTGGATCAAAACAGCCACCTGATGCGTCGCAGCGCTTCTTCAAGCCTTCTCCTGCACGTAAAAGACAACGGCTGAGGGCCATTGGGCCCGGGATATGCGCGGGAAACAGACATGATCTAACAACACCATCCCGCTTCACGCCTACCCTAATGCAAGCATGGCAATTAAGTGCTGCTAAAATGCGTCACATTCAGCCGACCTGCCTTACTTCTGCTCCTCCTTCTGCTCCTCCTTCGTCTCCTCCTTCTCCTCCTCCCTTGGAAGGCAGCTTGTCTTGCTCGTGCTCGGACTCCCTGCTCGAAACTGCTGAAAGAAGCTACCATCACTGAGCCTCAGGCCCGGAAGTGATGACCTTCAAGCCTCCCGCCAGGACAGCCAGGATGCCAACACCCACCAGAGGGTGCACCTTGAAGTACCTGAAAATTGCGTCGAGCGGTGCAGCCAACGTGGAATCGGCACTGCTGCTGCCAGGACACGCGCAGGCCGTCTCGGCGTACGGCGTCACCAGCCTGCCGACGAAGAGGGCAATTCCCATGATGGTGGCGCCGATGCCTGCCATGGCCGAACTGCTGAGTGACTTCACTGCCCCCTTGCTCTCCCCGTCTAGCTCCATCAGCCTGTGGAGCGGGCATAGTTGACGGGCTTGAAGTACTCACCGAAAGAAAGCCTAATTCGGCTTCTGGGCATGTCCATCAGGGAGAGGCAACATGATGTTACACGTCAATGTAAGACATCAGCCATCATTGACAAACATGTTTGCCATCATCTCGAACACAACTGTAACAGTGCAACTTGGCGGCTTCTTGTCCTTGGGCTGCAAAGTGAATCCTCTCCATTCGTTGCACGGCGAGGAGAGGATGCCTTACCAACTGAAGAAAACAAATACGGGAGACACTCCCCTACCCCTGGCCCAGCGCCCAAACAAGCCCGCTTTCTGCATGCGTCCCAGCTGCATGCGGCCCAAATGGTGAAGGCGAAAACGGCAGACTGCGCAGAGTGCCAAGGCGCAAGCTACATCCGTGCAAACCGACGCTTGCAAGACCGCTCATGCAATGCGGTCGGTCATGGCTGTGCAGGATTGCGAGCAGCGCAAGTGCAACTGGCCTGCCCCACAAAGGATGTCGGTGCGCAGAAACCTGCTACCACGACAGCCACCCAGCCACGCGCAAAGCCATAGATGATGTCGCGGGCAACCGTTGGCACCTAAGAGCAAGAAGCGCAGTGGTAGCTTCAAACCAGAGCAGCTGCATGTTGTAATGGGATGGAGCTCTCAGCTTGTGCAAAAATGCTGCTTTCCAAGCTTTCGAGTCACGCTCCTCTCAGACCGGGCTGGGTTCCGCACATAGGCCTGATACAGCAGAGCTGGCTTAATCTCCCAGCCCATGCTCTTGCGGAAGCGGTAGTTGGTCACCTTGTAGCATGGCCGCAGCATAAGGGTTGTCAGGGTTCCGCTTTTGATCAACCCAAGAACCCTAATTTCCAACCACCTGGCCTGGTTCAACCAACAAAACTAGCCCGACAAATCTTGCCCGTCCAAAAATGAGCGTGGCAAAGCACTGCAAGTGCGCTTTTGGCAAGATACAACATGCACATAAGTGCGTCCAACAAAAAAGAACCAAAGGTGAGTGCTTTCGCCCGCTAAACGGGTCTCGAATCGTGTGCGGTTCGCCCACATCCATTGTGCAGCGAAAATGCCCTGATGAACCTGTCAATCTGTTGTCGGAGGGGCTTCCCGAGGCTGAGCGTCCGGCTGGCAGCATGACGGTGCAGAAGAGGAAACCGCTGATTGTTCCACCTCAACCCAAACCAAGGAAGACGGTGAAAAGAATGCCAAGGCCATTCACACAATGCGGTATCACCTCTGGCTGCGCAAAGTTGGAAGAAGCACTCCCGGAAATAACAAATGGAACCAGCACCGATCTGCAATAACGCTATCTCGCACAATCTCCCTCTCCAATGCCCAAGGCGCTCAATCCAGGGCTGAAGGCAGTGAAGGTCATCGCCATATTGATGATCTCGAACACTGGGAACTTCAGCCTATGCCAACTGTTCATGCAGCTGCAGCAACGCAAAGCCCATACAAGCAAAATAGCCTCATGGACGGAGCAAACTGCTAGCAAGCGCCGCCAAGGTGCATGTTGGTGGGGAAGGTCGTCAGGAAGAAGTTAGCGATAAGCTTGAAGTTCATCTCCTTCATGGCCTGCAGCAGAAATCGAATTCCGGATTCCAGCCAGCGCAGATTCTATTAGGTGCCCCCCATGAGCGAAACCTCCGCCTTCAGAGCGCGTGGTGAAATTCCTAGATCCCAAGACCCGAACTCCCCCATCCCCCAGCCCGAAGCCCTATGTTCTTCTTGCCGACGTGTCCTGGATATGTCCTTCACGTAGTTTGGACCTGTGTCCTGATCCCACAAAAAGAAGGACCTGCCTGGCCCACGGTCATTCGCTTCACCAGCAAGCGGTTCACCTCAGGCCAAGTACAGAATCGACAGTCCATTCCATTGCAAGACTCTGGCCGGAACTCCAGATTAGAAGCACGTGCGAACAAGAATGCTACACGTCGCAACCTGACAAAGAGAAGAAAGCAAAAGCCCGTCACGCACACTTCAGGCGACCCCTAGCAATGGCCATGGGATGTTGGCCTTGAAATAGCAAACCTCAGCGAGCGTTTTGCACCTCAACCTGTGTTGCTCGAAACTGTGGAACCGCGACCATCTCCTGTTGGCTTCCAGGCGCACAACTTGCTGGCTCTCAGCTTTGGGAATGAACCAATGAAGAAAGGAAACCACAAGGAATGGTTCTTTGCCGTCCCCAAGTCCAAACCCCTGCTGAAAGCCACTCAAATGCTCCATGGCTCTTGGTGACCAGCTCCTTCCCCGTTCCCCGCCAGGCCGTCTGCCAAGGAACCAGCGGCTCAGCCATCGCCGACAAAATCGCCGCCACGAAGGCTGCCTTGGCCGGCAATGCCGGGGGCAAACTCACGGAAAAACCAAGTTCTTGGCACTGTTGGTGGTGGACCCGAATCCTTTGACCCATGACAATCCTCACATGCTTGAGAATATGTGCGGGTCCAGGCCAAAGGGGGAAACCGGAGACCCGCCCATTTTCAGGTTGGGTTGGGCATGTACACCCAAAAATGATGTGCTGGAAGTCCTGGGAAAGCGCCAGTTTAGGAGCTTCTCAATGATTCTCGATCGGCGCTCTTTTCAACCGGTCATTTTCCCCCTGCCTTTGTGATTGTCTGAAAAGAATGATCCTAGAATCGGTGAGGAAGTTGGAGCCCAAAAAAAAGGAACGCCGAAGAATGCCGCAAAATGAGTGATGCTGTTGCCCTTCATGCAACCGTGTTTGGTGATCCCTTTAAACACATGGTCCCTTAAAACACCAATGCAAGCATGTCCCGGGCGTAACCCCTTTTCAGCTGGTACGATAAACCAAACATGAGAAAGGGGTGAGATGCCCCATTTCGAAACACACCCAACAACTCCTCTCAGCGAGGGCGAAGTTCGGGCGAAGTGCCAAAGCATGGTTGAGCAGGGGGGTAACGTCTGCGAACCCGAAGCTGTGAGCTCGATGAAACACCGCGAACGCGAACTCGATGGGCGAAAAACTCTGGAACCGGATCCATCCCATTCGAAGGCGCGCCTTTTTGGGGGCGCCCTTGAGCTGTTCTTCGCAAAGAGGAGCCGAATTTCGACGCCACCCGTTTCTCGGGGCCCAAGAGTGGCGCTTCGAAGGAGTTGCGCTTCGCGGCTCTTAGAGTGGGGTTCGGAAGCCAAAGGACAATCCGCTTGGGCGGGAGGTTGTCACCCCAAAAGTTTTGCAGACAAGGATCCAATTCCTGGTGGGCAACCAATCTCCTCTCCTCTGAACCGTTCCACCCTCCCGACATGGGACTTGTGTTTCCGATAGAAGGATGCATCCCAAAAAACTGCTGTCCACGGATGCGGATGCTCGAAATCAACTGGCATAGGTTATTGCTTTTACACAGGCTCAAATGTGTCCTGCCAGGGACCCTGCTACAAGGGGCCCTGCTTCTCCAGCAATGCAGGAGGGTGACGCCTTACCACCAAATCCTCCAACCCTCCAATCCAGCTGGAGACACCGTGGCACCCTGTGCACCAGCCGCGAAGACCTGTCGGTTGTCAGAAATCGGTGGCCTCCGAAACCAGAAGGTCACAAGAGCTTCGTGGCACTCTCTGGTGGAATCCATGCCCTGTGGATTGCCTGTCCTTGGATTATGTGTGCGGTCGTTATGTGCTGCTAGTTCCTCGAGCCGATTGCTGGGGCGACCACCAGTCACTTGCCTTCCAATGAAGAAGACGCGCAAGAGTTCTGACCCGCACACTCACTTCGCCGAGGCTATGGCAATGCAAGAAGTCCTGCCTTTTCATTGTGTATTACATCCACTCACAAATGGTTGGTGGACACAGAATGCCGCAGGGCCGAGGTGGCCGAGCTTCCCAACAAACCATATCACATACATATATACATATATACATATATATATATACACCAAGAAAGCACACAAATCAAAAAGCGCTGCCAACGGCCTGCCAACGGACCTACGCACCATTTCGCGTCCGGTTGCCTTCCCTCGAGCCGGCAGAAGCCGGAAGCCGGAAGCCACTCATGTGGCTCCCTCGAAAACGGAGCATAAATCAATGGTACCTGGGTCAACCATTAAGGATCCCAGGGACCAACCGTTGGTTTAACTATGTAAAAAAAATGTCATGTTTGTAATGTGGGTCCCACATGAACACTTGTAACAATGGTACCCTCATGTTGGGTACGAGCCTTGGTGAAGAAGGTGGCGCTGGCCGCCGCAGCCGAGGTGGTCACCGGGGAGTTGTCACGGGGCAGCTGTCCGACCGCAAAGGTCCTGCACTCAGGTCATTGAGCTTACAAGTGGAGACTCGTCTTTAGGTTTTCGAGTTTTCCTCGAGTTTGTTCACGCTTCTTTCAGAAACTGCCCTCTTTTTCAGACGCTAGCAGCTGTGGCCAAAAAGCATTTTGCTCACAGCTTTGCGCATGAATGTCCTTGAGGAGGACCTAGTGAGAGCCGTGGAGTCGGCAGTGGACTCAGTGGACGTCCAGTGGGCGGCTGGAGTCGCGAAGGTCAGCTCTCCGACGTTCCACCTGAGGTAACCCCCCACCAAGAAAGCCAACTTTATCTGTAACACCGGTTGCTAAGGAACAACATCGGGCAAATTGAGCCCAAGCTGTCAAAGAAGGAAGTGGGATGCCTCCCTGGGGAGATTTGCTCTTGTTGTGACACACACGCACACACCGCGCGCTCCTCCGTTCATTCCTTCCTAAAAAGCTCAGACTGACAGCCATGGGAAAGCGCGATGAATCAGCATTCCAGCCGAGGCTCAGAAGGCAGGCCAGGACCAGCAGGCATGCCGTGGATCGACTGCGACGCACCTGACTGAAGTCTCAGGTTGCTGGAAACAGAGGCCCAGGTTTCGTTGGGTGTCCGGTTGAAACCTGTGAAGCTCGCAATGCTCTGGAAAACCTCGGCGCTTTTTTGCAGAAGAGATGCCATCTTCTGCTCTGCGCCCACGAGTCAAGGAGTTGAACAATCGCCCCCAACTTGGAGCCAAACGAAAGCGGCACAGTGCATCCGGATTCATGCTGGTGGCATCTTGAGCTGGCTTTCTGGGGGGGAAGGGTTCACCACGTCTGTCAATCGTTGGCATTCATGGCAGGCGGTTGCGAAGTTCATCCCTTCAGCAGCTAGTCAGCTGCAAACGTTGACTTTTGCTCAGACCGAGCTCCGTGGAGTCTGTCCATGGAAACACCCTGTGAGACTGCAGCGTTGGCAAAAACATGACATTACATGACAAGAGTCTCGCAGAGTTCAGATTGCCAGCCTCATCAGTGATGTTCCATGGACGGGTTGGGATCAACGAGAAAAATGGGTCCTCAGGACCTTGCTAATTTCACTACTGCTGTGGGCCAAACGTCCGAGCAGCAACTGCTGCATTTCAGCAAGTCCCCGCCACAAACTTGTTCTTGGGCAATCGTCTGCACTCTGACATGCAGGCAGCATCTTTGATGCCTGCCTGTGACATGTCGTTTGACGTGGTTTTTCCTGTTGCCTCTCGACGAGTGGCAACAGGACTACATTGCTGGCAGCAGAATTAGCATGACAGTGTGGCAAATGTACTGGCGGAAACAGTACAAAGCCTGACACCCAAAATTTGACCCTTATCCTCTTCGATCAAAAAAGCCGCCTGATGCGTCGCACCAGCGCTTCAAGCCTTCTCCTGCACGTACAACCCCATCCGGCTAAAATGCGTCACATTCAGCCGACTTGCCTTACTTCTGCTCCTCCTTCTGCTCCTCCTTCGTCTCCTCCTTCTCCTCCTCCCTTGGAAGGCAGCTTGTCTTGCTCGTGCTCTGACTCCCTGCTCGAAACTGCTGAAAGAAGCTACCATCACTGAGCCTCAGGCCCGGAAGTGATGACCTTCAAGCCTCCCGCCAGGACAGCCAGGATGCCAACACCCACCAGAGGGTGCACCTTGAAGTACCTGAAAATGACCCGAGCTCTTGCCACCCTCACTCGCAAGGCCGCGCAGGTGCAACAAGTGACACGCAGGCGTCCTCATGAAGTGTCACAAGTGCCAATGCTGCCAGGACACGCAAAGGCCGTCTCGGCGTACGGCGTCACCAGCCTGCCGACGAAGAGGGCAATTCCCATGATGGTGGCGCCGATGCCTGCCATGGCCGAACTGTCAAGTGATTGCACGTCACTGCCTCTTGCTCTTCCCGTCTAGCTCCATCAGCCTGTGGAGCGGGCATAGTTGACGGGCTTGAAGTACTCACCGAAAGAAAGCCTAATTCGGCTTCAGGGCATGTCCATCAGGGAGAGACAACATGATGTTGCATGTCAATGTAAGGCATCGCGGCATCAGCCATCATGATTGACAAACATGTTTGCCATCATCTCGAGAACAACTGTAACAGTGCAACTTGGCGGCTTCTTGTCCTTGGGCTGCAAAGTGAATCCTCTCCATTCGTTGCACGGCGAGGAGAGGATGCCTTACCAAGCAAAAAGCAAGACAGGAGGGGCAGTGTCAAGCCCGTAACCTAGAGCCCGGACAAACCAGCCGCATTGCGTCCCAGTTGCATGCGGCCCAAATAGTGAAGGCGAAAACGGCAGACTGCGCAGTGCAGCGTGCCACATCACAAGCTACAACCGCCCATTGCTACTGGCAAGACCGTCAAAGCATTCAAGCGCTCGCACTGTGCAGAATTGCAAGGATTGAGCCCTCGCCTCAAGCCATTGCATTCGGGGGGAGTCAACACACGACGCCTGGCCTGCCCCACAAAGGATGTCGGTGCGCAGAAACCTGCTACCA